ATCCAGAGTTGCGGCGAGACTCGGAATCGCGACGCAGCTCCCTCCAATACCAGAGCCACCCATGTACCGCGGAGAGACCGATGACCAGGAGGTGGGAAACGCAGACTACATCATCGTGCTGCAGGAGAAGAACCTAAAGGAAAACACGACGATGACGACGGACATGCTGAAGAAGATGGTCACTCAGATCGACTACCTAGTCGCTATGAAGACCAAGCTGACGATGGCCCTCACACTCAACACCCTCGCGACGAACAAGACGACAGAACAGGCCTTCATGATAACCGGGAACATCAGGTCGCTAGAGGAGCATATTCAGGGCGTAAACGAAGCGCTGACCAAAGTATCTGAAGCACATGGCAGTTTGAAGTTCAAGACGGAGCTGTCAGTCCCGATGCCCACAGAGAAGGACTACACCAAGGCGCTCGCGGACAGGAAGGTCGGGCTGCAGGACATCGTGGGCCAGCAGAGGACGGCCAGGGCAAAGGAGCTCGCGAAGCAGAAGACTGACGGCATCATCCCAGAATGGAGCGCATCCGACCCGAGCACTTGGATCTTCTACGCTTGAACGCCTCCTCGGGATGGCATTCCAGCCTGGGATAAAGATGACCCGTCGACGTGGCCCTACTACGGCTGGAAGACCAAGGGTGAGTTGATCGACTACGACGGGGGAGGTGAGAGCTCGGCTGACAAGCCAAAGCCGATCCAAGACGATTGATCGCAGTCAGCGGTCAGTGGATTTCCATTCCCACTCAATTTTTCCCATCAGAAGGACGCGCCACGTCCAGCGGTCAGAGGTCAGTGGGCAGCCATTCAGCATTTCTCTTCGGCAGGCTGTGCCAACAGCGTCCAATCTTCTCAGCAGGCCGTGCCAAATCCAGCAGCAGGGTACGACTATCTATGAAAGAGCGTGTTCTACTGCTGCTGGCGGAAAACCGGGGGGGTCACTAACGGTTCGAACCCCTCCCCCCCCCTCCGGAAAACCGGAGGGGGTCACTACCGGTTCGAACCCCCCCCCAGTTCATCATGAAAAGGGGGGGGGGTCACTACCGGTTCGAACCCTCCCGCCCCCCCCCCCCTCGAAAACCGGGGGGGGTCACTACCGGTTCGAAGACCCCCCCCCCGAAAACCGAGTGGGGGTGCGGACAGTGGTGGGGACGGTGGTGGTGGGGACAGTGGTGAGGGGACAGCGGGACAGTGGTGGGGACAGTGGGAGTGGGACAGTGGTGGGGACGGTAGTGGTGGGGACAATGGTGGGACAATGGTGGGAACAGTGGGGACAGTGGACAGTGGTGGGGACGGTGGTGGTGGGGACAGTGGTGTGGGGACAGTGGGAATGAGGTGGAAACAGTGGGACAGTGGAGGGTACAATGGTGGTGGGGACAGTGGTGAAGGCGGTGGCGAGGACGGCGGTGGGACAATGGGACAGAGGTACAGTGGGGACAGTGGTGGGGACAGTGGGGACAGTGGTGGGAACAGTGGGACAGCTCAGTGGGACAGCGGAGGAGTCAGTGGGACAGTGGGGACAGTGGGGATAGTCGGGCAGTGGTTGGGGCCGTGGAGACAGTGGGGAGAGTGGAACCGTGGTGGGAACAGTGGTGGGGACAGTGGGGACAGTGCGACAGTGGTGGGGGCACTGGTGGGGACAGTAGGGACGGTGGTGGAACCAGTGGGGACAGTGGTGGTGAGGACAGTGGTGCTGGGAACAACAGTGGGGGATGTGATGCGGACGGTGGTAGGGACCGGGAGTCGTTTGCTGCTGGCGGTGAGTGGGGTGGGTGGGGAGGGGTTCGAACCGGTAGTGACCCCCCCTCCGGTTTTCGAGGGGGGGGGGGGGGGTTCGAACCGGTAGTGCCCCCCCGGTTTTCGAGGGGAAGGGAGGGGGGGGGGGGGCGGGTTCGAACCGGTAGTGACCCCCCCCGGTTTTCGAGGGGGAGGGGGGGGGGGAGTGGTTAAGGGAGGGGGGGGTTTTGCCGGGGGGGGGGGGGGGGGGGGGGGGGGGGGGGGGGGTTTCGGAGGGGGGGGGGCGACCCCCGGGTTCCGGAGGAAAAGGTTGGCAATTTTCCACAGTAAAGCGGCGGTGGATCACGCTCTCTCCTATCTATACGACCACCCTTCGGGTGATAAGGAGGTTCGGGGGGGGGAGGAACCACCATCTCACTCGATCGGTCTCACTATCGATCGCACTATCGATCTCACGATCGGTCTCGCTCGATCAATCTCACTCGATCGATCTCACAATCGATCTCACTCGACCTATGGCATTCGATCGATCTCACAATTGATCTGGTTATCGATCTCACAATCGATCTCACTATCGATCTCACTATCGATCTCACAATCGACGTCACATTCGGTTTCACTATCGATCCCACTATCGATATCACAATCGATCTCACAATCAGCGTCATCATCATCAACATCATCGTCATCAACGTCATCTACATCATCATCCTCATCATCATCATCATCATCACCATCACCATCACCATCACCATCATCACCATCATCGGGACACCATCATCATCATCACCACCTCATCACCATCATCCTCAACAGCATCATCATCACCGTCATCATCATCGAAACACCATCATCGTCACCGTCATCATCATCATCATCATCATCATCATCATCATCATCATCATCATCATCAACATCACCATCATCGGGACACCATCATCATCAACAGCATCGAACACCACCATCATCATCAGCATCTCATCAGCATCGTCATCATGAACAACATCATCAACATCATCAGCATCGTCACCATCATCATCATCATCACCATCAGCATGATCATCATCATCATCATCATCATCATCATCATCATCATCATCATCATCATCATCATCATCTGGCCACCATCATCAACATCAGAATCATCACCATCACCATAATCATCATCATCATCGTCATCATCATCAACATCAGCATCATCACCATCATCGGGCCACCATCATAAAAACCATCATCACCATCTCATCAGCATCCTCATCATCAACATCATCATCACCATCATCATCGGGACACCATCATCGGCATCATCATCATCAGCATCATCATCATCGGGGCACCAGCATAATCACCATCATCAACAGCAGCATCATCATCAACCTCATCATCAACATCATCTTCGGGACACCATCACCATCAGCGTCATCATTATCTCATCCTCTCAGCATCATCAACATCATGAGGATCATCAACATCACCATCATCATCATCAGCAGCATCATCAGCATCACCGTCGGGACACCATCATCATCACCAACAGTTTCATCATCAGCATCATCACCATCGGGACACTATCATCATCACCACCATGGCCATCATTATCACCATCATCATCATCAGCATCGTTAACATCATCATCATCATCATCATCATCACCGTCACCATCGGGACACCATCATCATCACCATCATCATCATCATCATCATCATCATCATCATCATCATCATCATCATTACCATCATCATCATCATCATAATCGACAGCAACATCATCATCATCACCATCACCATCACCATCACCATCACCATCACCATCACCATCATCATCATCATCATCATCATCATCATCATCATCATCATCATCATCATCATCATCATCATCATCATCATCATCATCATCATCATCGGGACACCGACGGGACACGGGCGGGACACCGGCGGGACACCGCGCGGCACCGGCCCGCGGAAAGGAAACATTTGGTCAGGCCGCGCCTCAGCCGGAGGCGGGACACCAGCGGGACACCGCGGGCCACCGGCCCCATGGAAAGGAATCATTTGGTCCAGCCGCGCCTCAACCAGAGGAGACTTTCTTCTCGCCTGCCCACGCAGCTTCGCCCCGCCCGCACGCACGGCACGCACGAACACGAAACCGAAACCGATGTCCCGGTAGGGGGGCTCTCCGTTCCACTTCGATCTCACCCCCTCACCTCCGACCAATGACAGCTGTGCCGACCAGGTGACACAAAACAGTTGGAGACAACACGGTACAGAGGACCCCGCCCACCGCCAAACCCACCTCGAGAAGTGAGCCCCCCGAAGACCCCAGAGTTGCCCAGATTCCCACATTAGTTCTTTTTTTATTACTGAGGGATGAGGGGGGGGAGGAGTGGGGAGGGAGGACGAGAGAGAGCGAGCGGCGAGCGGTGCGCGCGGCCGCCCCGCGCGCTGCACCGACGACCGCAAGTTCCAGGAGGCGGCCGCCGCCGCCACCGTCACCCCCGCCCCCTCCTTCCGCCTCGGTGTCGTCTTGTGTGTGTGTGTGAGAGAGAGAGAAGGTGTGGGTCCCTCCCCCCCCCAGCGAGCGTTCTGTGCCTCAGAGCGGAGGCACGGCCCAAGGAAAGGGCTCTGCCTTCCGCTCGTCACTTTCCCTGGTTTTTGGGAAGCGTCGTGCTCCCTGCGCGCACCCCCCCCCCCTCCCGACGTAGTCCACGGGGGGGGGTGCAGGCAGGCCTATGGCTACGTGAGATAGGCCCTGCATCCAGATCCATCGCAAGGACACTCACTGCACAGCTTAGGCCCCGCCACCGCTGGTGCCGACACGTCCCCGAAGCGCCTTTACCTGTACCTTTACCTTTACCTTTACCTTCAACTTCACCTTTACCTTTACCTTTACCTTTACCTTTAACTTTACCTTTACGTTTACCTGTACCTTTACCTTTGCCTTTACCTTTACCTTTACCTTTACCTTTACCTTTACCTTAACCTTTACCTCCTCCTCCTCCTCCTCCTCCTCCTCCTCCTCCTCCTCCTCCCTCCTCCTCCTCCTCCTCTCCTCCTCCTCCTCCTCCTCCTCCTCCTCCTCCTCCTCCTCCTCCTCCTCCTCCTCCTCCTCCTCCTCCTCCTCCTCCTCCTCCTCCTCCTCCTCCCTCCTCCTCCTCCTCCCTCCTCCCTCCCCCCCCCTTCCTCCTCCTCCTCACTCGCCGCCGAGTGATGGCACTCGGTGTCGTCACTGCACCGCTTTGGGCGGTGCCCGCGAGGCACCGAGCGCGCGGCCACACCGGCGAGCGCCAGCGCGGCAAGCAGGCACCCGCCGGTGCCCGCCGCGGCCGCCGCCGCCGCCGTGCCCTGCCGGGACAGCTGCGGCGCGGCCTCCTCGGGCTGGGGCGCCCGAAATGGTTACAACAGGTTCGCGTCGTCTCCTCCTCCTCTTCCTCCTCCCTCCTCCTCCCTCCTCCTCCTCCTCCTCCTCCTCCTCCTCCTCTCCTCCTCCTCCTCCTCCCTCCTCCCTTCTCCTCCTCCTGCATCTCCTCCTCCTCCTCCTCCTCCTCCTCCTCCTCTCCTCCTCCTCCTCCTCCTCCTCCTCCTCCTCCTCCTCCTCCTCCTCCTCCTCCTCCTCCTCCTCCTCCTCCCCCTGGCGTTGCTCCTGACACTGCGGGGATCGTTCAAACTTGGACGATCGGCCGTTCCATTAAAGCCGGATCGTTCAACGACGGGCCGATTCTGGGCCACGGGCGGCGTTCAACCGTAAACGCGCGCGCTGGGGTCGCCGCTGGCAGACACGACGCGAACCTGCCGTACAGTGGAACCCAGTCCACAAGAAACCTTCCACAAGAAGCCCAACCCTGAGATCTCAGGACGTCCATGGATTTGTTGGTGCGGGAACGTCGCGCTCTCCACAGCAAAACCATCGAAGCCCAAGAAACCCAGGGCAGCCTGGAGGCAAGCAAGGTGTTTCCTGGCATGGGCCTCATCTGTACGGAAAAGACGGACACAATGCTCAACAACAGGTGTTGTCCAAAACCGACAGCGGCCGCTGCTGGGCAGACAGCGACGCCGCCAGCGAGTCCTGATCGGAATGCGCCAGGACTGCTGATGGACGTGTTCTGCCCGGCGTTTCCATAACTACCAATTTCTAGGCGGACGAAGAACGACATAAACATGAAAACTCCAAGGTTCGCGCGGATTTCTCGGATCGGTGCTGGACACCCCTCCCTGGCGCGCGGAGCGAGCCAGGGGCGGCGCTGGAGGCCCCGCTGGGGGGCACAGCACGGATCCAAGAAATGCGCGCGGAGCGCCAAACGTTTATGTATATGGCGTTCGAATTTCGGCCCCCCCGATCCGGGAGCTGCGAGGCAATGATCACCGGCGGAGTCTTGTTTGAGGCGGGCATCGTCTCCATTTTCGACTTCTGCCCGTGCTTCGAGGCCGGCCTCGTCTTCGTGTTCGCCCTCTTTCCGTGCTCGGGTGCCGCCATGGCCTTCGGCTTCGCACTCTTGTTGCCCTCCTGCCGCTTAGATTTCGGTTTTGACTTCGGCTTGGTCGTCGGCTTCGGCTTGGTCGTCGGCTTCGCTGCATCACCAATGACAATCTCCACCTTTGGGGAAACCAACAAGTACCCATGCCACTACTCTCTGGACCTCTCCAACGGTGCGTTCTGACCGGAATTTCGAGGCGAATGTAGCCATGGCAGCGAGGGCCTCCCAGGAGGCCCCACAGGGGGAAAACGAGGGAAGGATAGCGGTATGGGTGCATTTTCCTCCTCTGAACCTTGCGTTCGCTGGTGCCTGCCGGCATCTTGAGTTCTACAACGTTCCCAGCCTTCGATGCGGGTGCACTTCCCTCGCCCCCAAACGGCCAATAGCCACCGTCGTCATTCATGAGGCCATCGTCATTCGGGTTAGGCTCGTACAACTTGGTCTCTGCTGGCTTGCCGTCAACGCTCGCGTTGACAACGATCTGGCCAACAAGCAAGTTCACACGGACCACCCAGGCACGCTCGACATCGGACTTGGTCATTTCGATAGTCGCTGTACCCTTACCACTTGTGGACAATGTGACGTCCTGGCTTGGCGGATATTCTTCGGTACTGCGCTCGTAAATCGTCCGCGACGTCTTGTGAGCCCGCGGGCAAGGCCAGACCTCAACAACCAGGGTTGACCAATCGCCGTCTGCGACGGTGAGACCTGGCTTGTCAGTCCAAATGAGCATGCCGCCATCCACCCTGATCCACATTGGTAACCGCTCCATTGGCTGCTCAACGCTCTGATCCGCTGGCCCATACACGATTTCCCCACTCCAAGCATCCTGCCACGCACCTGGCGGAATCCAAACATCCCTCGTAACGGTTTCGGCGCTGGAATCAAAAATGGGCGCAACAAGGATGTCGTCAAGGAACATGAACTGGTGGTTGGACTGGCTGGACTCCCAGTGTTCTGGCCAGTAAAGGTCGCACCGCGCCACAAACGGGAAGCCCGTCTGGGTGGCCCGCTGGCCACCGGCGATGATCATCGGCATGAACATGTAGCGGTACACGATGTAGTGGCGCACGACGCCCTCCCACCAGTCCCCGTAGATCCACGGCTGGTGAGGTCCCCCGTGGAAGCGCAGGATCGTGCCGAACGCGCACATCTGGGTCTGGCGCAGAAGCTCGACCGCCGTGGTGAACCAGCCGTCGCCGCCACAGTCGGGATGAACGTAGGGCTTGAGGTCGTGGACTCCTCCGTCCACCATCGCCTCCAGATTGTTGTTCATGGTTGCGAAGTCGCCGTTCCACCAAACAGGGTAGCGGTGGTGTGCAGGGTGCTCGGCCATCAGCATTGGATCGAGAGGCGCCGCTATGGCGCCTTCGACGAGAGGGTTTCCGGCGATATTGTACCCACTGATCTCATTGTGCGGAGCCTGCATTGACAGAATAATGGGGCGCCCGCCATGGAACTTGTCGTCTGGACGGTTATTTTTGTTATACTGCTCTGCGATTGTGTAGTACACGTGCGACCCCCAGCAAGAGGTGGTGAGGCCCTCCCACTCCGAATTTGCAGTTACCCCAGAGACAGCGGGAGGATCGGCGTTCGGAGGCGGAATCGAAAATTTCCAGTTGTGGTCAAACCACCAGAACGAGAGCCCTTTTCCCATCCACGAGGTCAGACCATTCCTGATGGGCCAAGTTCCACCAACACTACCGAATGCAGTGGTTGTCCTCCTCCTCCTCCTCCGCCTCCTCCTCCTCCGCCTCATCTTCCTCCTCCTCGTCCTCCTCCTCCTCTTCCTCCTCCTCTTCCTCCCCCTCCTCCTCCCTCGTCCTCCTCCCTCTCTTTCCAATGGTGGTGGTGGTGGTGGAGACTCGGCCCATGAACTCCAGCGGAAGTTCACCTCGTCGGGCGTCGTCTGGGGGGCCACCTGCCACGGGTGGTCGTTAAAGTAGGTGTGGACGCCACGCTCGTCGAGCCAGCGGAACCTGAAGGGGGCCAGGGACACGCACACAAACACACACACACACACACAAATCCCGAGATTCCCCATATTTTGTCATATGTTCTGGGTTTTCGTCTTCCCCCCACTGCCCATATTTTCCCATTTTTTCCGGGGGAATCGACGATTAATTCTGCCTGTATGTGTTCCCCCTCCTGAGAACCACTCTTCGTAGTCCGGGAAAGCGGAGCCATTGGGCTGATCATACTGCCGATCAGCATCATTCTCTATCAGGCGCCAGTTCATGTCAAGTCCCCAGACATCGAGCGGCACCTTGTCGTCGATCCAGCGCTGGACCTCCGACTTCGCCGCGTCCTCCGTGTAGAAGTTCCACCACGTGAACCACGTGCCGAAGCCCCAGTCGGGAAGGAGAGGAACCGGTCCCGACAATTTGAAGAACTCCTGGCGTGCAGCGCTCCAACCCTCGACGCCCTTCCCCATCAAGAAGATATCCGCCACCACGCCGTCAGCACGTAGTGAACTGTCTCAAGGCTCATACAACTGTGAGAGGTCGAAGAGTACCATGTTCACTGGATCCTAGAATGTCCCAGTCGCGACCGACCAGAACGGTCGCTATCGACTTTGCTTTACATTTCGGCAGCGGTCGCACCTGATTTGCTTCAAAATTGGTCGCGACCGATTGGTCGCGACCAATCGGTGGCGACCAGACGCGACCGATTCCGGGGTCGGCCGCGATCGGCTGCGACCGATTTAAAGTGCCGACCAGTCGCTACCGATCGCGACCGAACAAAATGTTGTATTCAATGATTAGGGGGCCCACGAAGGACGTGCGCGCCCACGCACATACATGAACACGGTCCCCCAATCCGCGAGACCGGCCGCGTGATACGAACGTTCGCGCAATGCGTACTCTCGAAACCCACCTGGATTCGTGTACGTGTACGTCCTTCTTGCGTTCCTGAATGATCTGGGCTGTAGGTTTTTCACAGCCCGTCCCCACCAACTTCCAGGATTGTTTCAAGGGCGCGCGTGGGACGTGGGCGTGGTGAGTCTCCGGGACGGTGGGCCCGCACACAGCAGCCCCACGAGCCGTGGAGAGTCTCCCGAGACACGCCCCAAGACGAAATGGCCCAAGAGGCCCCCAATACGCCGCCAGAAGGCTCCATGAGGAACACGGACTGGCATTTCGAGCCCTCCGCCCCACAATGATCCCAAAGACCGTCAGCAGGCCCCGAGAGACCCCCTAAAGGCCCCCAAGAAGCTTTCAGGAGGCTCCCAGGAGGCCCCTGTGAGGCCCCAAGAGGCCCGCGAGAGCCCTTCAAGGGGCCCCCCAGATGCATCGACGCCCCAGGCACGGTGGCGGGATCGGCCGCAGGCCATTCTATATGTGTCGCCCTCGACGTCGTTGCTGAAATCATAGCCATTGTTCGGGCCCCCATCCTCTGCGGAAGCGGGTGCAACCTTCCAATCGGGCATAAAGAACCGAGGGTGGTCCATGATCGCGTAGCCAGCACTCGATTGAGGCGATGGCCAGTGCAGCTTGTTCCAGGCAGGGTACGCCTCGGAGTTGTACAACTCGTTGCCGTCGGCATCCCACACCAGGACCGCCCCGTCTGAGACCTTCGGTAGCAACTCATGGGAGCCTCCCATACCATCTTGTCGGCACTTGCGAATCGACGCTAAATCGATGCTCAGCGACGCTAAATCGATGCTAATCGACGCTAAGTCGACGCTAATCGAAGCTGGCCGACGCTAAATCGGCGCTATTTCGTCGACTCCAGACGCTAATCGACGCTGATCGATGCGAAAGACGGAATTCAGAGAGTATGCCAGGCTCCTATGATTTGTCACCGAACGAAGCCTGAACGCTGTAGTGGTCGGTCTTCATCAGCCCTTTCTTGTCTGGCTTCAGCTCGAGCCCCTCGAAGCCGCCGCGGTTCACCACCATGAAGGTGGTGCGGTCCTCGAAGCCGTTGGGGCCCTTCGGCTCCACGCGGAGCAGGATGGGGGATAGCGCCTGCACCCGGTAGTCGCCCACGGTGCAGGAACTTCCATCGCACGCGGGCATCGCAGGGCTCTCGCCGCCTCCGCCCTCGTCGGAGCTGCCCTCGTCGGTCGCAGCAGCATGCTCTGCCAGGAGGAGGCACGCAGCGATGGCGCGGACGGTCCGCATCTCGTGGGCGCCCTCTCTCTCCCTGCCTTTCTCTCTCGCTCTCTCTCTCTCTGGGTGTCGGCGGTCACGTTTCGAGACAGCTCCAGATTTCTCAAGCCCAAATGGCTTGAACCAAAACGGACACGGCTCCTTCATTGAGCTGTCATGGCATGGGGTTCCCGTGGGCTGCCATGGGTCTCTCTTCGGAAGTTTCGAAGCCTTCAGGGGGGCCCCTTGAGACCTCATGCGGCTCCGTTGGGCCGTCTTGGAACCATAGGGGGCACTCTCGGGGCGCTCTTGCCGCTCTCTTCAAGCCGTTTCAATCCGTATTGGGGCGACGTTTGGGGGCTGGTTAGTTACCTTGTACGCTCCGAGGGCCGAAACAGCGGGTATGCTAAAATATGGGTTCCTCCTACTCCTCCTGCTCCTGCTCAATATCCCGCTGTGAATGTCTCCTGCTGCCCGTTGCGCACAAGTTTGGCGGCACCAGCCGTGAGGCATGCGCAATACCGCCCTCGGGGCCTTCAGCACAAACTGGAATGTGCCCAAGGCGCATGCAGTTCTGAAGGGTGGATGAAGGTGTTCTCAAGGGCCCAGACCACGGAATACCCTGAATCCCACCAGCCCTTTAGGGCGTAGGTGGTTCAGGGTGTTTCCTCTTCCACCCCCTTCTTCCCCTTCGGGGAGGGGTTTACCCCTCCCCTTACCTCCTCCACTGGACCTGGAGGGGGCGTTCCGCGGGTCGCCAGAGCGTCCAAGACGGCCTCGGCGAGGAAACCAAACTCATTGGTTTTACTTGGGTTTTGGCTTCATTTCGGCCTCTTAGGGGGGGGGCGGCGCTAATTGAGACCCCCCCTTCTTTGATAGATCTCCTCCGAGATGGCCTTGAGAATACTTTTGAGGCTCCCAAGGGTACCCAAGAGGGCCCCAAGAGGTGGCCAGGAGGCCCCCAAGAGGCCCCCAAGAGGCCCCCAGGATGCCCCCAAGTGGCTCTCAAGAGACCCCCAAGAGGCCCCAAGAGGCCCCCCAGAGGCACCCAAGACTCTCCAAGAGGCCTCGGCGAGAATGCCACAATCATTGATTTGACTTAGGTTTTGGCCACATTTTGGCCTCCCGGGGGGGCACAGCTTAAGATGACTCCAAGAGCGCCTGGGAGAGCCCAAGATGACCTCCAAGGTGGCCCAAGATATCCCAAGATGCCTCAAGATGGCTCCCACGATGCTCCAAGGGGCTCCCCAAGACCGCTCCAAGACGGCTCCAAGCGGCCAAAGAGCTCCCATCGGAGGCCCCGAAGAGGCCAAAATCATTCCAAAACCTTAGGACAATTCATGCTTTTGGCTTTCTCGCCTTTTCGCTTCCGATGGCCATCCGAGGCTTCAAGATGGCTCTAAGATGGCCCAAGAGGGCTCCAAGAGCGCTCCCAAGGCTCCCAAGAGCGCTTCAAGAGGGCCCCAAAAGGCGCCCGGGAGGACCCCAGAGGCCCCAACAGGCGCCCAAGAAGCCTCCAAGAGGCTCCCAAGAGACCCCCAAGAGGCCCCAAGAAGCTCTCCGAGGCACCCAAGACGCCCGCCAAGAGGCCCCCAAGACGCTCCAAGAGGCCTCCACTGGGGGAGCCTTTCTCTGTGTGCTGCCCGCTTCCCTTATCGAGGCAGTTCCTCTGGGCATCGCTTCTGGATGGGCGGGTGGGGTGACGCGAAGCGTCTAGACTTCCCGACGGCTGTGCGCTTCCGGGGACCCGCGTGGGCCTCCAGGACGGTGCCCTCGCCCAAGAGGGCCCCGAACGGGCCAAGAGAGCCTCAGAGGCCGTCCAGACAGCCCGAGAGCTCGCCGAAAGATCGCCCGAAGACGCCCAAGACGGCCTCCAAGACGCCTCCAAGACGCCCCAAGAGGCTTCCAACAGCACTGCCAAGAGGGCCCCAAGAGGTAAAATTGCGAATGTTCTTTGCCAGATTTCAGCGTGTCTGCCTTTTCGGTTTCCCGACACTCCAAGACGGCCCAACAGGCCCCAAAGATCGCCCCCAAACGGCCTCACAGGCCGCCAAGAGGGCCCCAAGACAGCACAAGAGTCCCCCAAGGCAGCCCAAGAGGCCTCCAGCACCGCCCAAGAAAGCCCGCCATACGTCTCAAGAGGGGCCCCTGAGAGGCAACACGAACCGACGTCTCGAGCTCACCGCTCAGAGCAAGAGGTTCCCAGGAGGCCCCAAGAGGCCGCCAAGAATCTCCCAAGAGGCCCCAAGAAGCCCCAGGGGCCCCAAGGGGCTCCCAGGAAGCTCCTACGAGGCTCCCAGGAGGCCTCAATAATGCCGCAGACAGGTACCCCCCGAGAGCCCTCCGAAGAGACCCCAAGAAGCATCCGCGAGACCGCTGACCCACAAGCCAGGCACGGACGGCGGCGGAATGGGCAGAAGGCCGCTCGATTTCAAACACCTGACGTTGCCTACTGGGAGCCCGTTGGAGGTCACCTTGGGGCATGAGTGGGACTGTCTGGGGGGCCTTATCAAGCCATCTTGTGCCGCATCGATGGCCGTGCTGCAGGTGTCTCGGGGCACGTTCGCTGGATATCGATGTTTCAAGCATGGGATCCTGAGGGATGGGGTCATGAGGACGAGGTGCCTCAACCGACGTAGATCCAACCCGGGGTCCGTTCCTATCCTCAGGACCCCACCCCTCAGGAGCCCATCTTTGAACCACCGAGACTGCTTGCTTGGACTCCTTTGGAGGCCTCCGGCGGCCTGCGACGCATCCTGGGGGGGGGGTCCTGCTGGCCGTCTTGGAGGCCACGCCGGGTGCGTCGGCGGTCGGCCTGGCCACCCTGGAGCCCATGTGTTTACTACTCGCGGTGACGCCCGTGACCGGCCCCGCCCCCGCTCCTCGCCCCCCCCTCTGGCAGGAGAACCCAGAATCGAATCGATAAGTGGGATCGGCGATCGAAATGAATCGGATCGGCGGACATCGGCAGCCGAGTCGGGAAAAGACGAATCGGTAGACATAGGCACGCTAGTAGGCCTCGATTGTGAAATCGGATCCCAAATCGGAATCCGAAATCGAATTGAATCGGAATCGAAATCCATCGAAATCGAATCGAGTCGAATCGGAAAAATCGAAATGAGCCCTGCCCTGGTCACATCACGATTCGCGTCGGCGCCGTCTGGGAATTCGCCATTCCTACGCATTCCCGCGCGGCGCCAGCGCAGGTCGTGGCGTGAATGGCCCCCTTTCCTCCCCTCCATCCCCTCTGTCTTGCCCAATTCCGTCAGATCGGAGAATTCTCATGGGGATTATCCCCGCTATACTCCTGCAAGAGGAAGGAGCCATGGGGCACTTCACTCGGCGCACTGTCAGCAACGAATCGGGAAATCGGATCGAATCGACATGTGCGTCGGGTCAGGCTGCATCGGCACGAAGTCGAAATCGAATCGGATCGGCTGCGTAAAGACTCACAACAGCATCACGCAAGCATCGGGCCGCAACGGATGGCCGAAATAGCTAAGTCGAATCAAATCGGGCCAGCCGAAATCGGCATCAAATCGGATCGATCGGATCGAAATGGTCCCTGAATAGTCGAAGCGCCATGGTGCCATGCAGAGACGCCCGCAGCCTGAGGCCCTGTTAGCGCAGGGCACGGCGGCAACAAGACACTCCGCAGAGCGCCCTTCGACGAGGGGCGCGCTGTGCCGCAGGCGGCAGGGCTTACACGAAGGCCCGGTTCGAGGCGGCGCTGCTGGAGACGAGGCGCAGAGGCTCGAGTAGGAGACCGACTGCAAAATTGATGTAGCCGTATTGTTTCTTCGTCGAGTCTGCAGATCTACGAACGTTCTGGGGCAAATCAGAAATGTTTTAGGTGATCCGATGAACAGTTCAAGTTTTGGGGTAAATCAATTCTGTAGTCGATCGCCTTCCTACTTGAGAGGCCTGCGTCCGGTCAGACCATGCAATTAGAGAGGCCTCCCAAATGGATTCCGAGCAAATAGAATTAAATGGTAGCACCACACCGCCAATACATCGAGGATGCGTCGGCGGCGTCGGCGATGCATCGGCGACGCCAACGTGGACAAAAATCGGTCTCTACATCGAACCGCATCGGCGAAGCATCCGCTGTGCGGCGCGATCAACCGACCTCATCAACTCAGACACCATCTTAAAGGCCTAGACAACCACCTCATAACATACGTATCGTTACCCAAGCTGTATGGCCAGAGCCCGCCAGCCATCGAGCATGTGACCACGAAGCGTACGAGGGGTGTGACGACATGGATGGCGGGGACGCATTCCAAAGGCACCAGACACGCGTGAGGGGTGTGCCGAACTAGGAAAATGCGGAGGGCAGAGGCAGGGATGGGAGAAGGGAGGAGGGGGAGGGGGAGTGAGTGAGGAACGCGGGCCGCTGTCTCTTCAAAGCGAGAACTCAACACCACAGGATATATGGAAACTACACGCATACCGTTCGTCGACCTCACGGCGTTGTGGGCCCATCGCGAGATAATACAGAGTCATGGGGCACCAGCTGACAGGCAAGTTTCTCACTTGGGCTGGCTGCTGTACTCCCCTTCTCTCCTCTGCCACGTTCTCCTGCCCTCGCCTCCTTTTCCTCGCCCTCGTCCCCATCCTCGTCCTCATCACCACCCTGACGCGCGCGACAAGGTCCGCCTCCTGCTCCAACCGCGCAGCCGACTGGCAAGCGGCGAGCTCCGCGACGAGGGCCTCCGCGCACAACCGTGCCAATCCTCCTGCGTCTCATCCTCATCGTCCTGCGGCTGCTCCTCCTCCCCACTCCCCCTCCCCCTCCCCTCCCGCCCCCTCCTCCAGATGCGGCTGCGTGACACGAGCTCGGCGCTACGTGCTGCGTACTGCGCACAACTCACGCGACAAGTCAAGTACCTACTACAACATAACGACTCCAGCATCGACTACAACAACTACAATTCATTGACCGTGACGGCTTCCACCGTGCCCACACCACTGCCGTTGCTGCTGCCACGGCCATTGCCGCTGCCACCACCAGTGCCACTACCGCCATGACAAGCCGCCTAGCTAGCTCAAGCTCCAGTGAGCGCGGACACGCGCAGGATGCGACCTGGAGCACGCGGTGCTGCACGTCGCTGGCAAGAGGATGGCCGCGGCCTGCTCAGACGTCAAGACCTAGCGCCGTGTTGAGCTCGAGAACAGGGGTGCTCCGTGGAGCGCACGGCAGGCAGATGACGGCTGCGAATGAAAACATCTGGACAGCTCGCGCCTCTTGCGATGAGGGGATCGGGTGTCATCCTGGGATGCTCTGTTGCTGATGCACGCGGCTCTTAATCGAGACACCCTGGCACAAGTTGTGGGGGCTGCGAGGGCAACGAGGACATCGAAGTCTGCACTGCGGACTGCGCGGCATCGAGGAAGTGCGGCGCGAGGCGGCTGTGTGGCTCTGTCTGCGACTGCTCGGCCATGCCCCACTGCCTGGGCCGATGGCCAGCGATGGTTCCGAATCTCGGCAATGCCCAAGGCCTGAGATCGCCCAATACCTGGATAAAGAAACACGGAATGAACATAAACTGGTGGCGCTCCGCACGGATTTCTTGGATCTGCGCGGGACCCCCCTCCCTGGCGCGCGGAGCGCGCCAGGGGGGCCCCCAGCGCGGATCCCAGAAATTCCCGCGGAGCGCCAAAAGTTGGTGTGTATGTCCTTGTGTGTATATATATATATATATGTGTGTGTGTTTTGTTGATTAATGTTCGTAACGTTATTACTATTGGAGTTGTCATTTTGATGTGTATACCACTCTTCACTTTTCATGTTTATGTTTATGTCCACTGGTGGGCGATGTGGCTCGGGCCGAGAGCGCTCCAAAGGCCCGCCCGCTGCAACAGCGCTGCCCGGTCGCCGCTGCGTCCTGCCCCGCGCAAAAAAAAATCGCCGAAGGCCCTGGGCCCTTGCGGCCGCCAGACCGGCGGCGCCCACGACAAGGCCGCGGGGGCGAAAACAAACTCGAGCAGCGGGATGCAGTCGGCCCATCGCGCGAAATTTTCTCGGTGGCAGCTCACGGGAGCCTCCCATACAATATTGTGGGGTCTCTTGCGAATCGACGCTCATCGACGCCAAGCCGACGCTAGTCGACACGGAAGAACTCGAGCAGCGAGGTGCAGTCGGTCCGTCGCACGGAATGGCGGAGAGGAAACAAAACGCCATCAATATGAACTTTTGGCGCTCCGCGCGGGTTTCTTGGATCCGCGCGGGGCCTTGGTTTCGGTGGCAACTCATGACAGCCACCTTGTCGGCCCTTGCGAATCGACACTAATCGACGCTAGTCGACACTCATCGACGCTAAACAAACGCTGGTCGACGCTAACCGACGCTAAATCGTTGCTATATCATCAGCTTCCAGACGCTCATCGACGCTAGTCGACGCGAAAGACTAAATAACGAGGGTATACCAGGCTCCCATGACTTGCTACCGAACAGCGCTGGTCACAACAGGCCCCATCATCCTACCTAAACCCTCAACAACAACCCACAACTTCACAGCTACGAGCGAACCGTGAAACACGTGGGCGCCGAATTGCGAACGGGGTGGTCGACGGATCGAATGCGGGTCGGCGGGCGCTCATCCTGACTATCCTCACCTCTCCCGCCCATTATACCTCGTGCTTCCTGCCCTTCCGGATTGACAATATTACAACATGCTCCCCGCTACGTCGCCCCCCTACTTATCCGTCAGCTGTCCTTTTCATCTCGCCATGTTTTCTCTGATCATCATTCATCGTCTCATCCTCCTTCCATCTCCTCGTCTCCCCCCCCCGCCTCCTCTCTAGTGTCCTCGTGCGTCTGCTTTTCCTCCTCCTCCTCCTCCCCCTTCACCTCATCCTCCGCGGCCTCAGAAAATTGTCCTCACCTTCCCTCAAACTTCGCCACAGCTCGCCCTTGACCTCATGCTCCCTCCTTTGGGATCTTGTCGTTCCACGTCTCGCTGATTGTCCCCTGATTGCCTTCTACAACGGGCACGCAGCTACCCAAAGGCGTACGAAACCCTTTCTACACTCGAGCCGGCTATAAGCAGGACCGCTCAGTACAACGACTGAGAACGTCGGACGAACTCAACCTGCCAAGAGGTCCTGGCTCTGCAGGACCTCCCAGGAGCCCGCTAAATGTATGACAACTGCGTGCCTGGCCGCCCCAAGGGAGCCGCGTGGTCTCGTCTGGATGCGGGGGACCCCCCCGCTTCGCTGGCCCCCCCCAAGAGCCCACGGAAGAAGCGACAGTTGCGCAGCTAACTCAGGAGACCCCAGGGAGCCGCGTGGTCTCATCTGGATGCGGGTCACCCTCCGCTCCGCTGGGCTCCCCAGGAGCCAAAGAAAGGGCCCCCGAAAGGCAAACTCCACGAGCAAAAAACATATTGCTTACGCCTTGCCATCACGATTGAGTCCCAGACGGACTTCGCGCCGGAAGGGGCAAGCGCCCGAGGCAGCCCAAAAACGGCACAAGGCCTCCCCGGGATGGCCCAAAGAAGGCCCAAGACAAACAAAGAACGGCCAGGAGATTGACCCAAATACCGCCCGCAAGCCCACCCCCCGCAGCCCATTACTCTACAAGAAGACGAACCCAGGACCGGGACAAACACGGACTGGGACAAAGCAGGTTTCCCTGAGTTCTCGCGATATTGGGGGACGTATCGGGCACCGCGCTCCCAGAGCAGCCCGGAACGCTCCGAGAACGTTCGGGGGCGCTCTGGCGCGATTTCTCCGTCCTGGGCCCGCCCGATCCAAGACGGGCCCAATCAAGCCCGCGCGCCCCCCAACTCCCCGGGGGGCGGCCCGCCACGCCCCTGGGAGGCCCCAGAGGCCCAGAGCACGTCAAGAGAACCCCCCGAAGCGGCAACCCCCAAAGGGCGTCGCGGCAGCCGTGCCGCGCCGCTGCCCGCGCGCAGCTACACACAACGATGTAGCGCAGCTTCCCAGCACATCCGGCTGCACGTCATAATGCAGAACGCCACGCCACCATGCTCATATTGTTCGGGAGGCAGCTATTGGGAGGTCTTCGTCGGAAAGACTAACAAAACTTAAGCCCCACTGGGGGACTGTTGCGCCAGATTAGGCCGCGGATAAAGCGGGAATAAGCCTGCTTTAGCTGGACTAGGCCGGACAAAGCGGCCAGGATTTCGGACCAGGGCAAAATCAGACTTTGACCTCCCAGACATTGCATCCGAATATTATGCATGTGCGGTCGCAAACTTCTGCGTACCGTGTCGCGGCGACGGCTCTGGCGACACGCTGTGCCCTGCGAGCGGATAGCGCGTCGCTCCGCTCTGCGGGAGGCTGAGGCGAGCTAAGGACTGTGACGCTTGTGGACTCGGACGTGTTTGGCGTGTCGCGCCCAAGTGTGGTGGGCCAGAACCGGCGGAGCGGCACGCTAACCAAAGCTCACGACCGCATCTTGCATCCGCGAAACAAGGCCTAAACACTGGACCGAAAACGCCGACACGAAGCTGAGAAGACCGTTTTTCGGAACGAGTCGCAGGCGTGCATGATTCCTCGAATGCCTGAACTACGCCCCCATCCGAATGACTGTGCAAGATCATGGTTGCCCTTCAATTGAAAGAGCAATGCCAAAACGCGTCGCCTTATTCCGTTCTTCTAGTTGCAGCGCGCGTTGGAGAGCCTCAAACAGGGGCAAAGCAAGGCAAGAATCCAACGCAGAGTTGTTGAGCCTTGAACCCTCGCCTCACGATCGGAAAACAGGAGGCCACGCAGCATACGAAAATGCCTGCCTGGCCTTGAACGACAAGGAAATTGTCACACCAACGTGAAAGCACGCAAGACATGCGTGAGGGGGTATGTGACAGGCAGGCGCTAGGCATGGACCAAATGCGTGTCAATAGAAGAGGCAGGGAGGAGGCAGTACGGAGTGAATGAAAAAGCCGTACGAATGAGAACACGAGGACGGAATAGCTTGCTTTCACTAGTTGATTCACCTACTCGTGATGGTGGAAGGGATGGCGAGAGAGCAGTAACAAGGGAAGAGGGATGGCATGGATGAGGGAAGATAATGGCGAAGATGGATGAGAAAGAGCAGCAAGTGGAGAGGAGCATGGGAGAATGTCGGGATACAAACATGTACAACACATCCAATATCTATAACAATTGGGTGCCTCCTCCTCCTCCTCCTCCTCTTTTGAATCCTCTTCTTCCTCCTCTGCGCTTCTCCCCCTCATCCTCTTCAACCTCCGCACCCCCCCCTCATCCGACTCCCTCTCCTGCATCCCCCTCCCTATCCCCCTCCTCCCCCTTCCTTCTCCTTGGGCCTCCTGGCCCCCCCTGCGGCCATAAAGAACGTCCGTCCACCCTGCTCCTGCTGCTCCTCCGCCTCATCCCCCTCCTCCTCCTCCTCCTCCTCCTCCTCTTTCCTCAGCCAACCGTCCCCCCTCGTGCCCCTCCCTCCTTCTCCCCCCTCCCTCCAGAGCCCTTCTAAGTATCCCGGCGTTCGCATCCGCTGTCTCGCGCGGCCTCCTCCCCCCCGCTCGCCGGTCTCCCAGGCCCTCATCTCTCCAGCCTCATCCCTGTCCTTTTGGCGCATCCGCCCTCCTCCGGCCTCTGCCTGCCCCTAATCCTTCGTCAGAGATGGCCCAGGAGGGTTCCAAGACCCCCTGAGCATCGTTGAACCAATCCCCATTCCCAGCGGCGTGGCCTGGGCCCCCCTGGCCGATTTACCCCCAAGATGGGTATATAGGCCGTTCCCTTCGGGTTTCGAGGGGTGTGTTCCAAACTGGGGTGGTAATTTGGATGGGGTCTCGAAGGGGATGAGGATGGGGATGGGGGTCGGTTAAACGATACTAACCCCCGACGTCGTGTTTACGTCACAACTTCGACCCCGGGAGGCCTCTTTGCCGCACGACTAGCCCCGAGCCGCTGCTTTTTGGCGGCCCGGCCCAGCGAGGGGCCTCCAGAGAGGCAGAAAAATTTTGACGACAAGCATTCCGGCATGATTTTTCGTCCCTGCTGGTCCTGTGGGGATCTCGGGGGGGGTCCCGGGGGTGGTCCCCCCCCCGCCCCCATGGAAGGGTCGGGGGCGCGCAAATATTGATTAGCGATCCATGGATTTGGCGCGCGGTCGCCAAATCCATGGATAGGGGGAAGTACCCTCCCCAGAATGCGGCTGGTGCCGCCTCGCTCGGCGGCGGAAACCTGTGATTCCCTATGCAAACGGGACCCGTCGCTAACCCATGCCTCCTTTATCCATGTTTGCGATCGCCTGAGAGAGCACCTCTCTCTTGGAAAATTTGCCCCGTTTGCCCCCAGGGCGCGGTCCCCCTCCCCCGCAGGGGATTGGGGGCGTCCCAGGGGGTGGTCCTACCCCGATCACTGGATACTGGAATTTTCCAAGCGAAACCGACGAGAACGGTCGCGACCGATTTTGCTTCGAATTTCGGTATCGGTCGCGACAAATCGGTCGCTACCAATTTGGAGTGCCGATCGGTCACTATCGATCGCGACCGAAAAACACATCGTATCCAATGATCTGGGTATGGGGGGGTCTCGAGGACGTCTCCTGGAGGTTGACCCCGACCCCCCGCGGGAGCACCCCTCTCTTGGAAAAACTGCCCCGTTTGCCTTCCCCCTCCTGCCACCCTCCTCCTCCTCCTCCTCCTCCTCCTCCTCGTCCTCCTCCATCTCCTCCTCTCCTCCTCCTCCTCATCCTCCTCCTCCTCTTCCTCCTCCTCTCCTCCTTCTTCTCCTCCTCCTCATGCTCTCCTCCTTCTTGTCCTCCTCCTCCTCCTCCTCCTCCTTTTCATCAATCTCTTCCTCCTCCTCCTTCTCATCCTTCTCCTTCGCCTTTTCTTCCTCCTCCTCCTGCTTCTCCTTCTCCTCCTCCTCGTCCTCCTCCTGGAGCAACATAATGCAGAATAAACATAAGTTGTTGGAGGTCCGCGCAGACTTCTTGAATCCGCGCTCGACCTTCCTCTCCAGGCGCGCGGAGCGCGCCATAGGAGGCGCCAACGGGCCCAGCGCCGATCCCAGAAATCCGCGCGGAACTTCAACAGCTCACGTGGATGCTGTTGGTTCTGATTCGACATCCTCGTTCTACTCCTACTTCTACTCCTGTTGATCATCATCGTCATCTTCATCGGCATGGTCATCGACATCATAATCAGCATCATCAGCATCATAACCAACATGAGCATCAGTATCACCAACATCATCATCACCAGCATGATCACCATCATGACCAAAACCCATGTCGGCATCACCACCAACATCATCAACACCATCGTCGTCATCACCGTCATCATATCATCATCAATAAGGCCGTCATCACCATCTGTGACACGGTGTTCCAGTCGATAGAGCACTCAAGTCGGGATCATAAACGATCGTGGCTGCAAGGTCGATGCATCCACGAGCTCACCCGACACGAGTACAGATGGCAACAGTCCCGATTTCGGTTGTGCCCACTGTACGAGCAGTTGGCCTCGGAATGTTGTCGACGGGACTACCCGTGTCCAACCGAATTGCGATAACACGTGCTCTCCCACATCCCACCGTCGCCATTTGGGCTCTGGACTCGAACCCAGACAACGAGCGAGCCCCACGCTGGCACGGCAGCGCGGGCACCCGCTGGAGCAGCCGACGCCGCTGTTGCCGCTGTGCTGCCCGCCGCTCGTGGCGACCCGTGGCGCGCCGAGGACACGCCTGCGAACCGCCGACTGACCCAGTCGGCATCGCTCCAGCTGCTCACCAGCGCCGCGGCACCGCCGCGGCACGCGCGCCCGAGCTCGACGAGACGCCGAGCCACCTCGCCAGCCAGACCTGCTCCGTCAGCTCCGACACGCACCACAATGCAAGGGCCAGCAGCTGCGACACCTAACGCCGATCCCTCGCAGCACCCGTGCGACCTCTTCGGCGAGACCTACGCCTGGGGCCTGTGTCGGCGGCAACGGCGGCGACGCCAGCAGCCATGCCGAGGGCGGCGTGGCGCCGGCAGCCTTCCTCAGCAGTGTCTGGGAGTGGTGGAGCAGGCGCCAGCGAGCGGCCGAAGGCCAAGCAAAAAGTCACCAGCGGAGCGCTGGCCCGCGACAAGCGGGAGGAGACCGCGATGGGCGACGAGGACGACACGGACCAGGGCAGGGGCCGTCGTCGTCGGCGGGGAGGTCGACGCAGACGCGGCAACCACTCGGAGAAGCAGTGGACCAGCAAGGACCGCAACGTCCACGACCTCCTGCAGACCATGGCCAAACTCCTGCTCCAGACCACGCAGAGGAGCCGCCTGCTGGCGGCCAGCACCATCGACACGATCCAGCTCCCAGTCGAGCACCCAGTGGTCACCAACCTCGCGGACGAACTCGAGGAAAACAAGAACGAGATCGACGGGCTGCGCCAAACAGGCAAGGCCAAGCTCGCCACATTCGGCCCCCCGACGGCTTCGCTCGCAGTCGTCATGATCGAGACGCTGGCGGCAGCGGACGTGGGCGGAGCGCTCCGAGCCTCACTCAACGCATGGCTCGAAAAGGTCCAACCAGCGGAGGCCGACGGCGCAGCGACGATCACCACGCACGACATCGAAGACAGCATAGCGTTCATCCGAGTGGAGTCGTGCCACCACAGGAAGTTCGTCAAGCTCCAGCTCTCGATGAACAACTTCAGCCTCCGCCAGGACGTACTGGCAGCCTTCCGCTCCGAGGGGGTGGGCAAGATGATGACAGGAGTAGCGCCTCCAGGATGGCTCGAAGAGGAGCTCGGGACGTGGGTAGACACGCTCCAATAGAAGTGAATGAGCATCGCCCAGTCCTGTTTGCGCGTGGCCAGTCTCTCCCGCTTGAAGTGAATGAGCATCGCCCAGTCCTGTTTGTGCGTGGCCAGTCTCTCCCGCCCAGCGAATATACGTGCACGGTGCACTCAGGATCGGAAGTCCGCCGGCATCCGAAGTTCCCCTTTTTCCTGAGACCACCGTCTCGCGCCTGTTCTCAGCCTGCCAGCGCACACACGCGCAATCGCTTGTTTAACCTTCGCCCGACAGCCAGCCGCTTAGACGCCGCTACTGTTGCACCCGAGCCAGGCAATGAGGATGTTTCAAGCCCAATGCCCGAGCTCGATCACGCCGACCTGGACGCCCAGGAGACAGAAACCATGGATTCTCTAGACCTCGAACTTTGCCAACTTGCAAGTCCCCGCAACTGCTGGGGATTTCTGCTGAGGTCCTCCTTTTGTGGCGTAAGCCTGGAGAATCTGTTCGGGGTTAGAAGATATAAACGCGTAAGCCTTCAGCCACCAGCCGAGATCGAACAAGCAGCAGGTTTGTCGCTCGTCGTAGCCCCCTGTTCCTCGCGTGGCCCGCCCCAAAGAGGCGAGAAAGGGCAACCGTGCCCTGCAACGGGAATCCTTTTAGAACAGTCTGCTCGCATACAATCCACAGACTGAAGCAATGTGGACTTCTGTTTTCCCCGAAGTCGATGGATGATGAGGAACAACAATCTTCATCATCGAACACATCATCATCGCCATCATCATCAGCAGCAGCATCACCATCACCATCACCACAAGCACACACACCAGCATAACGACCATCAGCATCAGCATCAGCATCACCATCGCCAGCATCGCCATCACCGTCATCACCATCATCAGCATCATCATCATCATCATCATCATCATCATCATCATCATCATCATCATCATCATCATCATCATCAGTACCATAATCATCATCAGCATCATCATCATACTAATCAGCATCATCATCAGCATTAGCATGATGATGACAATGATCACTACCATCATCATCACCATCATCATCAGCATCAGTATCATCATAATCGTTATCATCAGCATCATCATCATCGAAACCATCATCACGAGCAACCTCATCACGATAACCACCACCAACACCACAACACACACCCACACATACACCACGACCATCAGCATCAGCATCGGCATCAGCATGATTATGATGATGCTGATGATGATGATCATCATCATCATCATCATCATCAATATCAGCATCAGCATCAGCATCATCATCAGCATTGGTATCACAATTACCATTGTCATCGTCGTCATCATCATCATCATCATCACCATCATCATCAACACCAGTAGCATCATCATGATCATCATCTGAATCATAGTCGTCGCCAGCAGCATCAGGAGCATCAGCGTTGTCATCAGAATCAGCACCACCACGATCATCATCAGTATCACCCATCTAGTTATCGTCAGTAGCAGCATCATCATGAACTTCATCATCACCAGCAACCTCATCACGATCACCACCATCACTACCACAAGCACACACCACGACCCTCAGCATCAGTATAATCATCATCATCAGCAGCATCATCATCGCCACCACCATGGCCATCATCATCACCATCATCATCACCACAAGTAGCATCAGCATCATCAACATCATCATCGTCTTCGTCAGCAGCATCAGCAATATCAGCATCATCACCAGCATCAGCACCACCATTATCGACATCATCAGTAGCAACAGCAGCAACAACATCAGCATAATCCTCATCATCATAATCATAATCATGATCATGATCATGATCATGGTCGACAGCATCCATATCCTCATCAGGATCCTCATCGTCAATCTCATCAGCATCACCATCATCAGAATCATCACCACCATCACCATCACCATCACCATCATCAGCAACATCATCATTCGCACCAATATCATCATCACCATCGTCGTCGACGTCGTCATCATCCTCCTCTCCGTAATAAAAGAGGTCGGCAACACCGGCCGCAAGGCCTCCTCAACACGCGCAGTCGCTGCCCCCCCTCCGGGCGCGGCCAAGAACCTGTGCGAGCGCTCCCTCCTGCTCCTCCAGGGCCCTGCGCAGCCGCTCCACCTGCGCGCGGCGGCGCTGCGCCCAGAGGGGGAACTTGGAGCCGACCGATCCGTCCTCCGCCTCCTCCTCCTCCGCCTCCCCCTTCACCTCCTCCTCCTCATCCTCCTTCTCCCCTCCTCCTCCTCCTCCTCCTCCGTCTCCTCCCTTCTCCCCTCCGCCTCCTCCGCCTCCTCCCTCCGCCTCCTCCTCCTCCCCCTCCTCCTCTCCCCTCCTCCTCCTCCTCCTCCTCCTCCTCCTCCTCCTCCTCTCCTCCTCCTCCTTCTCCCCCCCTCTTCCCCCTCCTCCTCCTCCTTCCCCTCCTCCTCCTCCTCCTCCTCCTCCTCCTCCTCCTCCTCCTCCTCCTCCTCCTACTCATCGTCGAATTGGTTTTCATAAGGTTATTCGTCCTCCCCCTCCTCTTCTTATTATTGTTCGATGTTCCTCGTCGTATACGTAGTAGTATGTTAATTATGGTTCGTATGGTTCGTCTGAGTATGTTTCTTCTTCCCTGTATTATACGTATTCTTATGTTTCTGCTGCTTCTTGATAATATTACTGTTCATGGTATTCCTCTTGCTTTTCCTCTTCCTCCTCCTCTTCCTCCTCCTCCTTCTCATCCTGCTCTTTCTACCCCTCTCCTTCCTCCTCCTCCTCCTCCTCCTCCTCCTCCTGTTCCTCCTGTTCCTCCGCCTCCTCGTCCTCCTCGTCCTCCTCGTCCTCCTCCTCCTCCTCCACCTCCTCCCCCTCCCCCTCCCCCTCCCCACCACCCCCACCCTCCCCGTTCCCCGTCCTGTTCCCTCCCGTTCCCCCTCCCTCCCCCCCCTCCCCATCCCCCTCCTCATTTCCCTCCCCCTCCCAGTTGGTTTTCCGGCGCATTTTCAAGAAACCACGTATGGTTTGAGCCGTAGTGTTACGGATAAGTCCGGTTAACATTTAAATGTTTCCACAGGGCGCGAAGCCTACTACCCCGAACTCAGGGGATCATAAACAATCCATATCCGATGCTTGTCCTTTATAGATCCGTGGAAAATGGTTTAGCGAAGCGTGGAGCGGTCCACGGCCTTTGGGCTGAGCTCAACCCTGCTCTAAATACCCTGCTTGGCTCTAACTGCTTAGCTTCCTGAACGACGTGCAACGGTGCTTTTCTAACATCAGGCTGGCTTTATAGGCTACGTAGAACATATGACCTTCTAGAACCTTCATCCTAGAATAAGCTCAAAATCCGAGAATGCTGGAGGACAGAAGGAAGAGGAGGAGTGGCAACGCAAGAGCAACGCTTATTTTTCCTCTTCGTTCAATCTTGGACTCTCCACGACAGTCAACGCTTGTCGTAGATGATGTCGTAGTCCAACTACTCCTGAAGGTTCTCAATCTCCTTCTCCGCAGCTTCCAGGTGTCGTATTGCTCGTTTGCGTCGGACCGCCTGTCCGTCCATCAGGGCCATATTGATCTTCCCCGTAGTGCAGTGCATCAGTACCTGGTCGTATCAGCCCTCCTTGCCGAGTCCGTCCGCCAGCATGACCCTCGTAGGAACGTGAAGCCTCGAACGAATCCTATGATGAACTCTGTCTTCTCGCAATGCCATGATCGCCACACGCTGGCTCTTGTCTGAAGGAATGCCACGGCCTCCAGCGATGAGCTCGACGAGGTCCATGCAATCGGTCATGGAGCCGTGGGCGATGGCAGTGATGCCCTTCTGGCTTAGCTCTAGCATGTCATGCGCCGTGATACTCGCTCTTGGCGGCAACACCATATGGCAGAATATCTCGGTGATGCTTGCGGCTATGAGCTGTCCCATCTGAGTGCAAACAATTGCCGCCAGCGTCTTTGCATGCGATGTGACACGTGAAACCCTTGACGCCCTGCGAGCACTGAAGAATAGGGCGTGGGCGTAGCCTCCAACACGTCATAGGTCTTGGCCGGTAATCCGGTCCGGCGTGTCGAAGTTGAGGCCGTCGTGCATAAACATGTCGAAAGTGCCTTCGTAAGGATAACAGCTCTTCTTGCTGGCGTGACCACAATCATGGATGCTGCACCACACGATCGGGAACCGAACCCGTCGAAAATGTCATCCGTTCATGTCATTTGCCTTGCGCACCCCGGCTAACACCTGGTTCGCCATCTGCGGGCGTTGAATCCGAGGGCATGCCATCTCCGACTGACGAGCTACAACGTCATGCGCGATATCAATCCTCGCAAGACACAGCCAGAGCTACAGACCACCGACCTGATCTGGTGATGCTCGTGCTCGTTCAGCTCCTGGAAGTCCCTCTTCATGTTGACCGCGTTCGTGAACTTGCCCTCCGGCAGCTTCTCGAGGTGGTGTTTTTGATGAACCAGCAGATGTCATGGTGACAGCATCTCGTGCTTCATGCTCGGGTACACGAAGGGCAAGCCTGCCCCCCCTGGGATTGCCGAACTTCTGCCTCAACTTCTCGGCAATGAAATCGAGAAACTCAAGTGCAGCTGCCAGCAATAGGTCGTCCACATGGATGATGCACAATGAAATCACTTGCCAGCCGTCGGTGGTCATTAGAAAGCACTCGTCACGTGTGCCTATCCTGTAGCCGATGTCCAACCTGAGGTAGCGAAGCAATGCCAGCTGCCATAGCGAAGGAGCGTCAACCAGGCCGTACAATGCCTCGAGACATTTAAGATGAAGAGAGGAACATCGCCATCCAGCACCACAATCTTGCTCTGTGGCCTGTTCCTCCAGTGTCGCCAGATATTCGCCGGCGGGCAAAAACCATACTTGGCGTGCTTCCTTCACCTCGTGGCCCAGCTCGGTGGCCTTCGCAACTTCCGCTGGGAACTTCAGGCCCTGCAAGGAGGCTGTTGAAAAATCAAAGCTTTCGAGGGCCAACTCAAACTGCATGGCAAGTAAACGTAAACGTCTGTGGCTTAAGCGTGAAGCCGTCGCCCTCTGTCGATCCAGAAAGCCTCGACCACAACATCTTGACTTGACAATGCCCTTCTCACGGCTCTTCCATTTGGGGACCCAGATGCCGTCCGCGACGTCTGTTGCGCTCTCCGACTTGTCGATCTCGAAAGCGTCGTGGCTGTGCAACATGACGGCCTCCTCATAGTCGCCGGTCTCAACGACGTTCCAGGTGTCGATCACCTCTCGTGGCGTTAGAAGGTCGCCCGAAGATGCAGAGAAGCATTGGTCCTCTCGATGACCATAGTAGAAACACATCGGCCTCGTCACAGGCCCACTCAGCACTGCAAACGCTTCTTCTACAGTCCAGGGTAGTTCTCCGCATTCAGCTTCATGACTAAAGTGAGGAATCTGCTCCGCGTCAGCTATCGCACGCATGAAGCACTCCTCGTCGACGTGTGGTCAGAACCCAACTGGCGCCACATCGCGTAGGTCGCCCCAGTCGATGTTCCGCATGATGAGCGCCAAACCAGACCTGATAGCCGTGCATCTCCAGCTTCTCTTGCTTGTCCTCGTAGACCTTCTCGCTCGTTGTCTCACCATAGTCAATGGTCTCATCGTTGTCGTTTGGCTCGGCGAGAGGTAACGCAGGCTCTGGTATGGTGCTTGCTGCTGGTGATGATGATGATGATGATGCTCTTCCTGTCGTAGATGTACTTGGGCCTCTCGTATCTGGAGCCCATCCATGTCGCGCAGTACCTTGTCGGTCATCAGGACGACTAGCTGACGCGTCACGTTTCTGCGAATGTGGCCTGGCTGCGATAGGCGACGCTGACGGTCGCAACTTGAGTGTCTCTTCTCGTACCTTGCGATCAGGGTGTTCATGATGTTGTCGCGGTCTGGAGCAGGTCCATAGTCTCTCGTCCGAGAGCGGTCCAGCTCTGACGTAGTAGGCGATGGTCCTTCGTGACCTGGCCCTGGCAACTGTGATAGTTCTGGCGGCGGTGTCAAGATCGGCGACTCAGGATTGCCATTGTCCAAAGTGTCCCGATGGCTTGCCGGTGACTGGCGGGAAGGGGTCGGTGGAACTGACCCCCGGCACTGCAGCATCGTGTCCCCTCCTCGCCGGTGGCGATGCCGTTGGAGGAAGAAGCGGAGCCAGGGTTATTGATATTGACCTGTCTGCTGACTCTGGTGAAATAATCGATGATTCGGATATCTTGATGATGTCTGTGTCCGCTTGATCGCCTGGGTCGATCGCGCCGGGTCCCATGAGCTTCCTATCTGCGCTAATTAGTTTCCCATCGCTAATTAGCGCAGATACGTATATGAATATATACTAATTAGCGCTGTCAATCCTAATTGGCGAGTAGTCAGCTCTAAAATTAACGGGTACGCGCTAATTAGCAAGTATACGCGCTAATCAGAGCTTGATGAATTAGCGAGTAGCACGCGTTAATTAGCGCGCGTGGTTTAGCGCGGACGACGTCGCCGTCGACCACTCGCGCGCTTTTTTCGCCGTTATAACCATGAGCGCGGTGCCGAAGACCGCGATGTTTATCCATGCCCATAAATATAATTCCCACGAAGGCACGCATGCAAGAAGACAGGGCCAGCAGAGAGAGAGAGAGAGAGAGAGAGAGAGAGAGAGAAAGAGAGAGAGAGAGAGAGAGAAGAAACGAGGACATATAAATAAAGAGCAGGACAACCAAGAGAGAGAGAGAGGCAGAGAGCTAGGGGGGTCATTCGCAGCCGCCTTCAAAGGCGGCTCTTTTTGTGTTTTTTTTTTCCGCAGCAGCGCTATCGCACGCGAACCAAAGGCTCCATGCGGAACCTGTCCATAACATTGGCAGAGAAGGCCTTTGTGGTCATCGGGGCGCCACGCCTCCGTGAGATCCTGCTGACGGTCCCTCCAAAATCCTCGCCGCGGTAAGTCCAAGTAGCTTTCGGGTCAGATTCCTGGGTGAGGTGCACGAAAAGATGGAGTTTGGGCTTGCACCTGAAGAATGCAGGGTGTCGCTGTGCGAGTGCGTCGTACAGGAGCACGAAGCGTTTGCCGTTCGTCGCCATGGTGTCTCTCCTGAAAATAACAATTGTCCGCAAGGCCTCGTAACAATTATGGAGGTGGTTCGTCGCTGCGAGATTTGTCTGCCCCAGTTCGCTGCCGCCGCTGAACAGTCTGTTGCATTCCTCCCACACCCAACCCTCCAGAGCCCTGCGCGCGCCCGCCACGGCCTTTAGTTCCGGTGCGCTCCTGCGGCTTGCCTTTTTGATCAGCAAGAGCGTCCGCTTGCGGGGCCTGTCGCCCGTCTTGTTCCTGTCGCAATAGGCTTGGATGGACGACCACATCCTGTTGAGGCGTTCGGCCCGATTCCCGCCGCCATAGTATTTACTGTCACTTAGAAGGAACCACATCACTGGTCCGAACCAATCCAAAGCAACGCCCTGGTCCACACAACGCAACCAATCCACTCGAAACAAGGAAAGGTCATCCACGCAGGGCGCCGACAACAACGGCGACGGCACGCGCCCGTTGCGCATGTTCCGAAGGATAAATTCAGATTTGGGCAGCTGCGTCCTCCGCCACGGCGGGCCCCCCCGCGCGTCGCCAACCTGCGGGGGAAACAAATGCACGTGATCAGCCGCCTTCCGCGGCGCCCCGCCCACCGCGCCAACCCGCCCCCCTGCCCCGAGGGGCAGAGAAACGGGTTGGGAGAAAGGAAGCAATTCACGGTCAAACCGTGGGGCGCGGCGCCTGATCGGGCGCGCACGCGCGCAGCCAGCAACAGCCGCCCCCCTCGTTCCAAGCAGGGAGCCCGAACGTGCATGTGTAGCTCGCCCAATCTCCTCTGACACCCACCAGAACACCCCGGAAGCCCAACGGTTTGTTGGAGCGACGCTTGCGGTGCGAACCTGTCGCTTGCCAAGCGGCGCCATCGTGCCGACATGGCGGAAAGGCATTGCGTGCCATTGCCGAGAGCGACCACCGCACGATCTCCACGCAGTCGTTGTACGTGTTTGAACTCATGCGGGATTCGGGAAAAGCTGCCACAGGAACCCACAAAGTCGAGTTGTCACCACTCAGCCCTGGAAGATTTACTTGAACGAGTTCGACTGAATCGCTCCTGTCGAAATTGTTGGGCACGCCATCAGTCCAGAGACCTACGGGTAAAAGGGTATCTGCGCCCATCGCCGCCTGGCATCGCAACAGATGTGTTTTCGCCTCGACGTCCAAACCTTCCGCATCAAAGACTTTCGTCTCATCCGGATACGAACATATGACTGAAAACATTTCGTGCGGCAGCAAAAAAAAACACATATCTGAACGCACTTCTCTGTTCAGTTTCGGGTTCCACGTTCTCACCTTGGCCATGTACGTCGGCGGCCACTTGCACGCCTTCAGGAAATTCCTCTTCAAATATCTGGCGATGTTCTTGCCTTCGCCGCGTCGCACCGCGGCGGTGGTGAAATCGCCGAGCTGACCAGGGAGCAATTGGCCAAGCGGTGCCAAGAAATTATGCCAGAGTTCCCGTGCTAACTGCCTGTTTTCGAGACATGAATCCCTGATGGCGCCGCGCAGGCGCGTCGACGGGGAACCGTCGCCCCGCCTCGCCCACGATTGGCGCTTCTTCCCCTTGAGCATGGGCCCACCCCAAAGCGGCGTGGAAAAGGAAGAGGCCTGAGCAGACGGCTACGGATCAGAAGAACCAGCGAGCGAGAGCTGGATTGCCCGTCCCTCTTGGTCTTGTCGACACGGCCAGCGCCGCGCATCCCGTCCCTCTCTGCCAACGCTAATGTCACGCTATGCCTTCTCCATCGTCCCCCCGCCCTCCTCAAACCCCCATTTATCCTCCTCCTCCTCCTCTTCCTCCTCCTGCTCCACTACATTCTCTTCCTCCTCCTCCTCTTCCTACCTCCTCCCCTCCTCCCTCCGTCCTCCCCCCCCCCCCCCCCCCCCTCCTTCTCCTCCTCCCTCCTCTTCCTCCTCCATCTCCTCCTACTTCCTCCTCCTCCCCCTCCTCCCTCCTCCTGCTCATCTCCTCCTCTTCTTTCTCCTCCTCCTCCCCCCCCTTCCCCCCCCCCTCCCCCCCCCACCCCTTGCCCTCCTATCGTCGCGATTATGTTCTCGGGGGCGCCGCCCCCTGCACAGGAGACGCGTTTTCTGCAGGTCGGCAGGGGGTCTTTTTTCTGGCGGCGGCGGCGGCCACGCCGGAACACCTCTCCGCGGCGCGGCGGGCAGATACGGAAACCATGGGGATATGTATATGGAAGTCTGGAAAATACGAAGGAGCACAACTGAAACGCTGCATCGCTCTAGCATCGAGGTACCAAGACGTAGACGCTTGAAAGAAGCATTGCAATCTGCACGCTCAGACATCGCACCCCTGTGAACAACCGACTTCACGACGCCGCTTCGAAATGGCGCCCCCAACGCTTTTTCCCCTCCTCGAAGCCCGCAATGTGCTGCTCACCCTCCTTCTTCGCACTCTGCAGCCGCTCGGTGATCTTCAGCGCGGCGTCGTCGTCATCCGAAGCATCCACGGACGCAGCCTCTGCGAGCAAAATCTCCGTTTCCTCGAGAAGTCTTGCCAGGAGTTCCTGCGCCATGGCAATCTCGGTCTCGCGCTGCTCGCAATGGCCGCCCTTCTTGCGCAGCATCGAAGCTTTCGCTTTCAGCTGAAGGAGGGCGCCCTGGTTGCTGCGCAGCGTGGCCAAGATAGTCCTGCAAGGAGAGGTCGGCGAAGGGGGGGCATGAATGGAGATGGGAAGGGTGATGGTGGGGCATGGGTAGTGAGGAGATGGCCCTGACGGGGCGCAGCTCCTGTTTCATTGTCTCGATGGCCACTGACTCCACGATCGCGCCACGCGAAGAAGAAGATGCGTTCCCAGGGGCATCGGTGATCTTCTTGAGGGCGGAAACCGAGCTCAACATGTGTTTTTGTTTTCCCCTCTCGTCGGCGCTGGTCATGGTCTTCGTCGTGCCCCTGTAGTAGCGATGCGACAAGAACGGCCCCGCTTCGTCGATGACACAGCGTGTTCTCGCCATCTGAGGGCCCAGGCCAAGAGCGATGTACTTTTTGTTCTACCAAGCGAATGCACGCATCGCTGGCGCGCAGCCGTTGCGCCTGATCCACGGCGAAGACGTTCGCGCGGATGCCGTTGAACTCCAGGATTCTCGCCCTGGGCAACGTTGAGAATTAGAGCGCGCCGACAACAGACGCCCCAAAATGATTGATTCATGCCGGGGGGGGGGGGGGCGGTTTGCTCACCCACTTTCTTCTGCTTTTTGAAAACCAAGTAATCAACTGCATTCCATCGCGATATAACCTCCCCACATTCATTCTAGCGCAGGTGGGGGGGCACAAGGGCGAGGCTGAAAGATGAAAAGGCCAGCGGCGGGATGGCGGAGGATTAGGCGCGATGGTGGAGAGGGTGGGAGGGAGGGGGGGGGGCGCCACGATTGGACATCGTCGGCTGGAGAGCCCGGTGAACATGCCCTCCTGGTGGGAATGCGTCTCGCTCTCTTTCTTCTTGTGCGACTTAGTGCAAGAATGAACCATTTCAAATTCTTGAAACCACCATGATTCTCCACATCAGCGATGAAACTTTGTCTGTCGCTGCTCCCGCCAGGCATTGCCAACCATAAGTCTAAGGCCTTCTGCGCGTTAGCGCGGGACTCTTCGGGGGTACCCTTCCTGTGGTTCGTGGCATGGTAGCGGAGCGAGTTATCGAAGCTCTTCACCGCTCTGGGATCAGCTGTCGCAACCTCCCGATCGGTCTCTGCAAGCGCCTGTTCCTGGTGGTCAGATGGCTTCTTCTCTTGTTTGGCCAGGAGCAACTGGAACGTTTTGGCCGTCTCCTTCTCTGACTTCGGAGCCAATGATGGGGGCGGCGCGGGCGGTGAAGATTTTGTTGCCGTGGGATGCGCAGGCGCTGCTTCAACTGGAGCCACGGCGGGCCTCTTGAACACTGGAGGATGCGCATCCTCGTCGGAATCCTCAGGCATCGCGGCTGCTGGCCTCGAGGCAACCATATCTGCAATTCCGACGCGGAGTGGCGCTGCACGGGTGGGAAAGTTTGCAAGAAGAACGACTGCGCAGAGGCAGAGCGAAAATAACGTCATCGCTTGAGCCAGCAAACAGCTACAGACAAGCCGGATCGCTCAGGAAACGATTGCGGATGCCAACGTCGCGACCAAGCGAAACGACGCGCTGACTGACCAGAACAGATTGCTTATTGCGCGCGCCGGAATACGTTGAGGAGGCGGATGGAGAAGGAAGCAGCCAGCCAACTCAACAACCAAGTTCACGAAACTCCGAGTGGCGAAGACGATCATACCGAGGCGATCAAGTATAAGCCGAATGAGCCACCACCACCATATCATACCATACCACACAGAATATCATACAAGATTACATATTGCTAACAAACTCAATGGTGCACGTACACACCATGGTAAAATATTTTACCCGTAACAGTTGTACTGCTTGTTTTGTGAAGTAAAATTCGCATTGGTAAAACATTTCACCTGCATGGCGGGTCCTCTCTTGGTGATGCGCAGGGTATCACGTTTGCTGACAGAGCAGAAAACGACCCATTTGGACAGAAAGGGGTCGTTTTCCATCGCGGCAAGCGCTGTCTAGAAACGATACTCGTTTGTAGCATGAGCGACGGAAAACGCAACGTGCAATTTAGATTCCGAAGCTGTCCAGAATGTTACGCGCTATTTTTCCTGAAAACGATGTGTTTTCAACCATGCGCAGCATTTACCGTCAGTCGTCTGCGATTTCTTCATGAAAAATTTGCGTCACACTTGGATCGCATTTGGGTCTCTGCAATTCAAGCTGTGCGACCAGTTGCCCTGCCTCTTTCTGCGGAGGCATACTACAGCATGAAATGCAAAACTCCACCCATCCAACCTGCAACTCTGTCTCTGCCCTGCACCCACACACACGCATGCACACACGCACACGCACGCACACGCACGCGCACACGCACGCGCACGCACACACACACACACGCACGCACGCACGCACGCACGCACACACACACACACACGCACACACACACACACACGCTGCAAGTCTCATCGCGAGAGGGCGGGGGTTTGTTTTCAGGCGCCGAAGGTGGCGAAGATTCAAGGGTCGCGCCCCCTTGATTCAGCGCAGACGGACATGGAAGCTCTCACTCCTTCCTCGGTTTCTTCCTGGGGGCGCGGCGCGTCGTCATTGGCGGCGCCACTCTTGTCCTTGAGCCGCCTGCGAGATGGCGCTGGTCCGCTCCCGCCGCCGCCGTGTTCGCTATCATCGTCTGAGGGCTGTTTTGCGTTGTTGGGGAAGCGGAGGCAACCTCCAACGACGGTGCAAGTCTCGTCGGCGTCGGCATGGGATTCGCGATTCGCGGCAGAACCTGGTTTCGCTGCAGCGCGAAGCCCGTCGCTCGGCCCGATCACTGGTAACGGTGGACAAATGAGAGGAGCGATTGGCGCAACTGGTGGAAAAGGATGCTGTCCCGCAACTGGCGCTGCCACCAATGGGGGCGGTGCTGCTCGCGGGATGGGAGCTGGCGGTGCGAGCGGCGCTGCTGCTGCCATATGCTGCTGCATCCGCCGAAGCTGCTGCACCTGAAAATGCTGCATCTGCTGCATCTGAAGCTGCTGCAGCTGCTGCATGATCGTTGCTCCTGGGTCCGAAGCTGCCGCCCCCGTCGGCTTCGGAACGGGATCGGGGGCTGGCTCTGTTTGCGGAGGCTCTAGCCATTCCTGTGGGGCCAGCTGCTCAGCAGAAAACACTTCCCGCCCCTCCATCGCCTCCGTCGACGAGTTCCACCTGCGGCAGGGGGCGGGCGCGCTCGCTCTCTCTGTTGCTTTCTCTTTTTCTCTATTTCGTTATCTCTCTCTCTGTCTCTCCTTCTCTCTCTATCACTACTCCTCGTTATTGGTCACCCTTCCCCTCCTTCCTTCCTTGCTTCCCTTCTCCGCCTCAATCCTGCATTTCCGACTCTCCACTCCGTGGCCCAATCAGCTCTCTTGTAAAGGAGGGCAAATTGTCTGGCGGACCCAATGGCCTGCCGCGCGCCTGGCCCTTGTTCTGCTCCCTGCGTTTGATCGGCTTCATGGGCCGCGCATCGCTCCCGTTCGTTGACATGGCATCTAGCTAAATGGTGGTGGTCCGACCAGACTATCGACAATGCGCTGCAGGATACATCACCGCTGGAATGCTGCCGTGGGAATCCGCGGCGCCCTCCATGCAGGCGCGCTGTTGTTCTTCTTGGCACTGCGGAGACACGCGGCCAACCCCAACTCCTATATAAGCGAAACAGCTGCATGTGTTGCAATGCTTTGGCCCGTTCCGAAGAAACAAACGCATGGGCTGCCCCGCCCAAGCTCGGCCCTTCTCTGTCTGCTGCCAGCCGTCGCTCTGGGCGATGAGCCAGTGCACCTCGTCGTGCTCCATCTCCCCCCCCCCCCCCCCCCTCGTCGCCCCCCCCCCCGCCCCCTCCTGGAAATCAGGACGCGTGTCCCTTCGGTCGCCCCCTCGTCCTAGTGGTGGAGCGTCGCCCCCAGGCGCAGCTGCCATCATCATCGCCTGACCCGCGCGCGGGTGCATTCTCAAAGCCTGCGCTGCTACTGCTTCTGCTACCCCTGCCAACTTCTCTGCTACGGCTACTTTCGCTGCCGCTGCTGCCCCTGCCAACGCCGCCCATGCCCCGCCCCGCCTCTGGAGACGGCAGCAACGCAGCCATTGCCGAGAGCAGGGCGAGCAGCGCCATCTGCGCCGCGGAAGCCGTCGAGAAAGCAACTCGAAAGGTCGCCATTCGTCGGGCACCTTGCAGCCGGCGCGGCTGCGCGACCAAAAATATTGTCAAAATTGTTCGAAGCAAAGCAGGTCAATCCACCAGTCTATCAGTCAATAAACCAAACGACCAATCAATCAATCAACCTGCCAATCCTTCATCTATTATCACATGTACTTCTACGCGCCATTGCATCAATCAATCAACCGATCAATCAATCAATCTATCTATCTATCGATCTATCTATCTGCCAGTTTTTCTATATTTCTATTTCTCTATGCGCAAATCCACGCACACCTACGCACCAGACCAACGGCAACCGAAACCGAGCATCGAAAACGAAGCAGACCGTCCGCCAAAAACGAAGCATCCGCGAACGAGACGCGCCAGCCGAGCCGCGAACCGACGCGAACGCGGAGCCCGATTTCACGAGAAAGGAACCAGCCAGACGCAAGCCCTGAGGAGGGAAGGTGGGGACAAGACCGCACCAGCGCTACGGCAATCTGTTGTGGCCAGCCAGGCGCGACCGCCCCATCGCAAACCTTTCGTCGTCGCCGGGCGTCGGGCGTGCCGCCCCAGCGTCGCGGCCTCCTACACAGGAGGCTATTGCTTGTTCAGGGGAAATGGAAGGAGGGGGCGGGGGGGGAAAATGGGGAGGGGCGGAGAGGGAGGAGAGAAAGGGAAAGAGAACGATCGACAGAGAGAGGGGACGTGCACCAAGAGAAGGACGTGCAGAAATACATACATATATAGAGAAAGAAGAAGAGGGGAAAAGAGAGAGAGAGAGAGGGAGAGAGAGAGAGAGAGAGAGAAGAGAGAAGAGAGAGAGAGAGGAAAAAAAGAGGGAGTGTGAAAGAGAGAGAGAGAGAGAGAATAACAAAAAAGGGAGCCTCATGCACAGGAGACCCTTTTTTAGAGAGCTCCTTTTTTTCTCGCGAGATGCACGTCGGCCACGCCACGCGATGCTCGTGCATAGCCTGCTGCGTGCGAAGAGAGAACGTACGGACCAGGAAAAACGCAGCTGTCGGCTCCCGCGCTGCGCAGGCGAAGACATTCCTACGTCGGCCATGGGCGGCGCGCGACGCGCGCGCCGAGGGGCTCTGAGCGGCGCCCGAGCCGCGGCGCTTCGAGCGCAACATATATGATGCGATCTACGGGCGTTTTACACTTTGGCTAGCACGCGCGCCTTCACTTCCCGAGCTTTCTGTCAGCCCCCTGGTCATCCACGACGCTGCGCCCTCCTCGTCAAGATCGCCCTTATCCATCAAGGCCACTGCTTCGCTGCCGACGGCCCGCGCGGCATCCACGTCGCAGTCCTTGCAGCGGGCGCCCCCGCTGGATGCCACCTGCCGCTTCGGCTCGAACTTTTGGCGCGCGGCGATGCTGCAGGATGCCTTGTAGCGCATCTCCACGTAGTGGATGCCGTAGCCAGCTGGCCTTTTCAACGCAGTCTTCATTGTTTTATTCTTGCACTCGGCCTTGGCCTTGCACTCGGCCTTGGGCTTGGCCTTGGGCTTGGCCTTGGGCGCCTCGGCCGCAGGCACCCCCACCTCCTGCAGATCCTCGACCTCGCACCCCTCGTCGCGTGGCCTCGCCTTGGCGGCCGCCCTGGCTTTATCCCTGGAAGCCCGCTTGGCCAGCATATTCTCCTTCTCGTCGAGCAGGAGATTCGCCATCTCTGTGCGCGCGTCGGCCATCTCGCCGCCTCCGAGGTCCGCCATGCAGAAGCCTCTGTCGCCGCGCACCAGAGGGTACTCGCGCCTCCCCGAAGCGTCCTCGATGACGCACACGAAGGCATAGTCCACGTGCCCCTTCAAAGTGGACGTGTCCTGGCGGAATACAATGGGCGCGCGCGCGACCTGTGCATGCACGCGAACACTTGCATAAACATAAACATGAGCATACATGCGCATAAACATAAACATGAACATACATGTGCACATTAAACACACATGAGTATACATATGCAGCGCTCCTGCACGTGCGCCGACGGACGCGCGCCTGGCGACAGCAAGTCCACTGTTGGTGGCGAGTCGACCAAGTCCACGCAGGCCGGCGTCTCCGTCTTCTTCTCGGGCGTCATGGTCACGAGCCTGCGCGGCGAGCCGCACCCGCGCGCGCTGTAGATGCCCGCGCACGACGAGGATCTCGCAGGCGCTGCTGCGGCAAAGACGCGCCGAGCATCTGGCGATGACTAGGGGGATGGTGATG